ATAAGTTTTCGTATAGCTTGACATTGCGAAGATGAAGTTTGTAATAGCTTGACATTGCGAAGATGAAGTTGGTAATAGCTTGACATTGTGAAGATGTAGTTTGTAATAGCTTGACATTGTGAAGATGAAGTTTGTAATAGCTTGACATTGTGAAGATGTAGTTTGTAATAGCTTGACATTGTGAAGATGAAGTTTGTAATAGCTTGACATTGTGAAAATGAAGTTTGTAATAGCTTGACATTGTGAAGATGAAGTTGGTAATAGCTTGACATTGTGAAGATGAAGTATGTAATAGCTTGACATTGTGAAGATGAAGTTAGTAATAGCTTTACATTATGAAGATGTAGTTTGTAATAGCTTGACATTGTGAAGATGACGTTGGTAATAGCTTGACATTGTGAAGACGAAGTTTGTAATAGCTTGACATTGTGAAGATGAAGTTTGTAATAGCTTGACATTGTGAAGATGTAGTTTGTAATAACTTGACATTATGGAGATGAAGTTTGTAATAGCTTGACATTGTGAAGATGAAGTTTGTAATAGCTTGACATTGTGAAGATGAAGTTTGTAATAGCTTGACATTGCGAAGATGAAGTTCGTAATAGCTTGACATTGTGAAGATGAAGTTCGTAATAGCTTGACATTGTGAAGATGAAGTTTGTAATAGCTTGACATTGTGAAGATGAAGTTTGTAATAGCTTGACATTGTGAAGATGAAGTTTGTAATAGCTTGACATTGTGAAGATGAAGTTTGTAATAGCTTGACATTGTGAAGATGAAGTTTGTAATAGCTTGACATTGTGAAGATGAAGTTCGTAATAGCTTGACATTGCGAAGATGAAGTTGGTAATAGCTTGACATAGTGAAGATGTAGTTTGTAATAGCTTGGCATTGTGAAGATAAAGTTTGTAATAGCTTGGCATTGTGAAGATGAAGTTCGTAATAGCTTGACATTGTGAAGATGAAGTTCGTAATAGCTTGACATTGTGAAGTCGAAGTTTGATTACTATTTTGAAACATGTCGATTCGAGCTCGATGTGTCTAAAAAGCACCAACAATTGAATAAAGCTATGTAATTATCAATGTAGCGAGAAAATGTTTTTTCATCTGTTACCATGTTTGATTGAAGTAGCCTAAAACATCTTGTAAAGGGAGATAATTTACTGAAGCAGCTCTCAATGAGTTCTAGAAGTTTAGCAGAGCACCATAAATTTCATACTAAGTCTCTTTAAATAACCATTTATCTGTCTTGATTCTAGAATAGTTTTATTAAAACGCCGTTAAAAATCAATATCTATTTGTTATCATTGTATTTTATCAGTTTTTATCAAACACCGAGCTGAATCACTCTGCAAATTTTCTCATTTAATCTAATTTCTGCCTTCAAGTCATACAACTAATTTATTTTACGAGGTTTATGATGATAGTGAATGAAAATAATAACCACCGATATTTCATGCTGTTTTCAGTTGAAAATGAGAGCGACCATTTTTTTCACCAAGATTCGTTATTTAAAGGGATTGTAAAGAGGTTTTGGAAATTTTGTATATGTATCGGGGACACTGATAGCACCAATGTACACCATACAGAGTTTCATGACGTCACCCCCGCAAAGGTTTTCATAAAACACTTAGTTTTAGTGGAATTGCAGGACCCTCAGAGGTCTGATTGAAAATTGGAATGATGGTAATTGATGATATAATTGTCCCCGGTAAGCATAAAACAATTTAGAAATCCTCATTACAATCCCTTTAATATGAGAACAAATTGGGCAGAAATACTTCAGGAAATCTTATTTGAATACTTCACCCCCCTCCTACCGCCGCGACCCACGACCACAACTTACTCACCTATTGTCCCCTATATCTATACATCAATGGATCTGATATTATTATAAACGTTTAAACTTTGACTTCAGGTAGAAACATCAAATAGCTTTGCCCTCAAGGTGAAAATAATCTTGCTTTGATTAATTATAAAATCTCTGAGCTCAGTTTGTACAATATTATTATTATAAGAAGAAAAATGTTGATAAAAGAACAGCCTCATGTCCACAAAATTGATTTCCTTTTCATAATAGAACTTTTTATCTTGTTGACTTTTATTAAAGAGGGTTGTCTTCAGGTTGTTTACAGTCATTCAGTGGCGGCGTCAGCCTCCCGAAACGTGGGTACAAATAGGGGGCAGAATGACTCAAAAGGGGACAAATGTCCAGACTGATTTCCGAATGCGGCAACTCTGTGGATTCGTCATAGTCGCAAGCCTCTCATCGAGCGTTCGAAATGGTTCTCAAAAGAAAATTTTCGAAAAATGGAATTGATTTGGTGTATTCTGCTATTGTCGCCAATAATCGCCAATGAGATCGCCAAGGAATCGAGAATGTCTTTAGACAAGCGTCGTAGCATCTCCATAAACGCAAAAAATGAAGTGCACCAAGCCCACAGATTTTATTAGAAACGAACGCAATATGATCGCTTACGTCGTAAGTTGATAGCGACTGTTGTAGAATTTATAATTTTAAGGGACTTCTTTTAGTGTTTTCTTCACTCAGTACAATTTTAGTCGTCATAAGATCGCAAATGGTCGCTGTCCGTGTGTGTGTGACTGGGCTATACAACCGTCTTTCCTTGTGTAATTGATGTAATATTATGTAGACTCCCGGTTCCCAACCTAGGGTGTCAGGGGTGTGGCCAACTGGTGTAGGAAAAATATTTGTTTCGAATAAAGAGAGCACCTCACATCAACACATGTTGAAAATGTGGATGAAATAATTTTTGACGGTGTGAAAGATCCAGGCGATTGCTCCAGGGGTGTGTAGGCTAAGAAAGGTTGGGAACCACCGATGTAGAGTATATGTTATTTTATGATATTGGTAAGAAAATAAATATTATATACATGACACATTTTACCTATAACAATCTATGATTTTATTTAATATAATATGATCACAGTAATTAATTATATTATATTATATTATACAGATTCAATGAATATATCAAATTATAGTGAAGGTATATATTCCTCTAAATATTAATCTTGTCATAATGGGGACAATAACTACAGGAGAGAATGTTAATAATGGCCGGATGTAAAAATGAAATGGAGTTTTACGTCCTCCTTTTCGGCACCGTGTGGACTAATGAAGACGTGCAACGTCATGCAGGGTGTAATAAGGGCAATTTTGTCAGGAAAGCGGTATTAGCCTGCACTTTTTTATTTTCAGCTATCGAGGGATATTTAACGTGTGCATCATATAGCACAACGGCCGGATATGACGTTAACATTAATGTAAAGATTTTGTTGAATTGCATATTAACCACACTTCGAATTATAGGTCTAAAAAGTAATGCAGATAGCTGAAATTGAGCTCTATCAGCTGGTAAAGTAAATATTTAGAAGACTATACAGATAGCTGAAATTGAGATCTATCAGCTGGTAAAGTAAATATTTAGAAGACTATACAGATAGCTGACATTGAGCTCTATCAGCTGGTAAAGTAAATATTTAGACAACTATACAGATAGCTGAAATTGAGCTCTATCAGCTGGTAAAGTAAATATTTAGACAACTATATAGATAGCTGATATTGAGATCTATCAGCTGGTAAAGTAAATATTTAGACAACTATACAGATAGCTGAAATTGAGATCTATCAGTTGGTAAAGTAAATATTTAGACAACTATACAGATAGCTGAAATTGAGATCTATCAGCTGGTAAAGTAAATATTT